AGTGATTTTACCAATTTGTCATTGATGTATACTTCCATTGATGTTCCAATTTACTTTTGGAACATTCGATTTACCAAGCATTGATAGGTGGCTCCAGCATTCTTCAATCCAAAGGGCATGATTTGGTAGCAGTATATCCCATGTTCGGTCACGAAGGAGGTCTTCTCTTGGTCATTAGGGTTCTTTCTGATTTGATTGTATGTAGAGAAAGCGTCCATAAAGATAAGGAGCTCGTGCCCAGCCGTGACATCCACAATCAGGTCAATCCGTGGTAAGAAAAAATAGTCTTTAGGACAAGCTCGATTGAGGCCGATAAAGTCGATACAGAGGCGCCACTTGCCATTGGACTTTTTTACGAGAACCACGTTTGCTAGCCAGGTCGGGTAATCCACCTCCCTGATGGCCTTGGCAGGGAGAAGTTTGGTGACTTCCTTATTGATCGTCTTTTGGCGTTCTGGGGCAAAACTCCTTTGTTTTGTTTGATGGGTTTACAAGCTGGGCTCACACTGAGCTTATATGTGATGATGAAGGGGTCAATTTCCTTCATATCTTCTTGTTTTCAGACAAACACCTTCATATTTCTTCTAAGGAATTGGATCAGAAGGTTTTTAATTTCCTTGTTCAGCTTTGATCTTTCGTATACCAAATACTTTGACTCTTCGTCAAGTTGGATAGGCTTCAGGTCTTCCAATGGCATTAGCCTAGTTTTCAACTCATCCCTCATGTCAAGCTCGTCCAGTTGGATGTTTTTGACCTTTTTCATTTTCATGGATGCTATGTAGCACTCCCGTGCCATACGCTCGTCTCCCCGGACCACTCCAATTCCGTTTTTCGTCGGGAACTTCATGACAAGATGGTAGACAGAAAGGATAGCCCTCATGGAATTGAGGGAAGGTCTTCCGAGCAACATGTTATGTGCTGAAGGTGTATCGACCACTAGGAACCTCACAGTGGTGGTGGCCTAGCAAGGAGGATCTCCCATGGTGAGCACAAGCTGGATTGATCCCAGGGGTAACACCCTTTCCCTTGAGAACCCTAGTAGGTGAGCGCTTACTGGATCAAGTTTGTCCCCACCTATGTCCATCTTATCAAAGGTAGACACGAATATAATGTCAGCTGAGCTCCTGTTGTTAATCAAGACTCTATGGACGATTTTGTTTGCGAAGATGGCTCTTATTACTAAGGATTCGTCATGAGGATGTTGGTAACCTTTCCAGTCTAAGTCTGAGAAAGTGATATCCATGTGTTAGCCAAGGTGTTTTGGACACAGTATGCACTTCCAATGTTTTCTCAGCTTTGATTCTACTCAGGTGAGCCTTCTTGGGACTCTCCACCTTCTGTGAATCCTATGAATATCACTCTGATCTTCCCCCAGATGTTGTGCAGGGCTTGCTGTTGAGGTGCTGGAGGTAGTGAAGCTCGGTTCTGTGCCACAATGCGGCACAACTGAATCAGGAACTCAATTTCCTTTTTCAGCTGGATTTAATCATTTGTGAGGTGGTCGTGGTCTCTGTGGTACTCGCAATACTTTGTCACATCTCTTTTCATCAGGTTTGAATTCATCTGAGGTGGCCACCTTCAAAAATTCTCATTCTGTACTTTGTAAAGGATCTAGGACACCGTGACTGTGAGTGGAGTGAGCTGTTGAGGTACGTACCTTAGTTGCAATTCTAGTTGTGGAAGGCCTAGGCGATCTCTAAAATTTCTTTCTTCCCTTTCTCCTTTTGCATGAACGATCCCCCCTACCTTACAAAGGAGAGCTTCTTCGCCATTAATATACTTTTCTACCTTGGCTAGTACTTTTGTCATGTTTGTTTGTGAATTTTTTGATATGGAGAACATCAAGTCCTTCGACTGTACGCCTAAACCAACAATGAAAGTAGTGATGACGAATTTCTCAACTGGAAAGTCTACCTTCAGGGATTTTGAGTTGAACCTTTAGACATAAGACCGTAGATTCTCGTTGGGTCCCTGTTTTACATTCAACAGGTAGTAGCTTGACTTTTAGTAGGTTTGAGCCCCTATGAAATGGGACACAAAGGATAAGGAGAGCTCCTTGAAAGAAGAGATTGACATCGGGGCTAGCCTATTGAACCATGCCAAGGTTGAACACTTCAGCGTGATGGCGAAGGCCTAGCATCATACAGGGTCTTAATACCCATGCAACTTCATCTGGTTCTTGTAAGTGTTGAGCTGATCCATAAGATCTTTTGTCCCATCAAAGACATCCATTTTGGGCATTCTGAACTTTGGAGGGAGGGGAAAATACATCATATCAACGGAGAATGGGGAGTCAATCTGTTGCACTAGGGCATCCATTGTTACTAGGCCTTACCCTTCATGGCTTCCTTCATGTGACTGAGCTATTGTTGGATGTCTTTGAAGCGCTACTCTCAATATTGTTCTCTTCTCTCCTGTTGAAAAGAGAGAAAATTATTTTTCTCGATTCCATCATTCTGACTTTGTACTTCTTCGTTGTCACCATTCCTGGGAGGTGGGGGGGAACATGGCCCATGGCTTAGCTATTCTCACCCCCTTCGTTAGCCTCCCTAAGGGGATCAAGGCGTTGACGTTCCTCTTGTAGGGGATCATTGGGATCGTTTTGCGCTGGTCGCGTCTTCTAAGGACGTTGTAAGAGCTTTAAGAGCTCCTCATTCTATTGTAATAGATCTTGGTTGACTAGATGGAGAGCCTCTAGTTCGTTATTCAATAGGTGATCCACCACAGAACAATTGGTTTCTATGGTGGGAAAGAAGTCTTAAAGATTTTCTTGTTGCCTTCTGCTTGTGGCTTTCTGTTGGTTTTGCAATTGTTGTGGATTCATTTGGTTTCTACTTATGTTGCGTGTGGAGACCATTAATTGATGAAAGAAACCAACATACTTGTAATAGGAATAGTAGTTTCCACAAATGATGTCAAACTGATGAGCAGAATATATATATGTATATTTGGGGTTAAGGGATGTGAGATCTGAACTACTAGGCTCGTGAGAATACTGCAATGATTCGGGGTTAAGGGACGGTTCATACTGAGGAATTATAGTGGTTCACCAGCTTGAGAGCTCGGCTAATCCACTCTTCAATGGAGTCTCTTGCTCCTGGAATCTATATTGATGGCTTTTAGATGATTACACATTGTTCTTCATACAACTTGATTGGCTTATCCTATAATGAGGATAATGTACAGTATTTATAGCCTAATTTCTAATTTTATGGGGTCAAAGGCAAGATCATCTCCTTCCTTCCATAACATCTCACTTAATTTCAAGAGAAGGTTTGGGTAGTTGAGGTATTACACCTAAACTGACACTTACCGCTATTGAGGGAGCTTTGGGTGGTTTGCAGTTATCTTCCGTTAATTTCCTTCACGGTGTGGGTCGAGGGGGCCCCAAGTCTGGACCTCTGAGCTCGGGCTTTCTTGGCTGAGCTCCCCTCCTAACCTTAACGTCTGAGCTGAAACTTGGGATTTTTCCCTAGTATCATCAGCATCCAGGACTTTTTCAACGCACAATTGGTTCCTTATTTCACCAATTTTATTGAACTTAAAACTTAAAAACTTTTATATTGAACTTAAAATTTATTGTATTATTAACGTACAGTTAGTTCTTAATTTCACTAGTTTGTATTGAGCACCATTGCATAGATAAAATAAAATCAACTTGTATTGACCACCATTGCTTCAGCTCAATGTAACAGTTGGATGTGGAATCACATACATATCATTAAACTAGATTTCAATAGCAATGTCTTAGAAATCAACAACGCAATTATTGAAACTCAAATAACACCCACTTACACCAAACTAACAATGTTGCAGCTATAAGAACTTCCCATCACATAAATGAAAAAAAAAGAAAAACCAAATGCAAAGTCCTTAATTTTTGTACCCCACGTTGTATCTTCTTCAAATCCAATACGGTGTAAAACGAAAACTCATGTACATTTTTCAAATAGGTGGTGTGCTCACCTTTCTGTCTTAAGCTATTGGAATGGGAATCCAAATCACCTCTATTGACCATTAGTCTTTCACTCTTTACCTTTGAAGTTCAAATTACCCATTCATCACATAACATGGTTAATTTTCAGTCCAAAAGAAGCCTTTACAATTCCAGAAGTGTTGCATATGACATACCTAACAATATACAACTCCCAAATGTAAAATTTCAGCCCCTAAAACAAAGAAAGTAGTGGCACACAAAAAAGGAAAAAGAAAAGATTAGGTTGATAACAAAGAAAACAATGTCATACCTAACCATATGCAGTCTTTTAAACTCCAGAGGTGAAAACTAAGAAAAAAAATGAGGCTGAGAAGTAAAAACTCTAGTGAGTGTGTGAAAGAAATCAATTAAGACACTCATTGAGACTTATCAATGGAGGCTCATTTTAGAGAGACAACGAAGATTTCTCACTCACCAATACAACCTAGATAAGGTCTGGTCTCTGCCTTAACCGATGATATACAAAGAGAGAGAAGAGATTTGGAGTAAGAGAAAAATCATTAGTGATGAAGATGAGCGGTGCGAGGAGAAAGAATACTAGGTCCAAGACAGGTTGTGAGTTTTTGAATTTTTAATCGAGTAAATTTTTGAATTTTGAATTTGGGTTGTGTATAATAGAGTGAATACAAGCTCCAAGACAGAGCTGATGTCTTCTAGTACTTGATAACGGTGGTAAACGAGAGTTAATAAAAATTTGTTTTAAATGTTTAGTTGTATTATGTCTGACATCTTACTCTCATGGCAATTTGTGATTGTGTATACACACCACGTCAGCCTGCCACGTGGTGTGTAAAACTCATGCAAAATTTTCTCAGAAGCCAGAGGAGATTTTCATTTATAATTGGAACCGAGTTGTTTTGGGTGAAAACATATTTGCATCTCTTGAAATTTACCGCACCAACACTCAAGAAGACGACACCGTTTTGACGGACCGAACAATATTCTCTCACATGTGACGGTGGTTCGCACCAACATTACGACTTTCGCAATTCGCAAAAAATTTACCCATTCCGTATACGTCTGTCTCGCCTGTCTCCTGTCTCTCTCTCTCTCTCTCAGAACTTCTGAAATACCAGAATTCAACCGTCTCTGCATTTCAAAAATTGACAATGAACGACGACGACGACCTAATTCCACCAGACCACAAACTCTGCGGTTTCCTCTGTACAGTTCTCACAATCACACCCGCAAACACCGCCACAGCCACTGACCTCCACGCAGCCCTACCTCTCAACTCTCGCTGCCGCATCACCGCCGACGGACTTGACGTCCACTTCAAATCGCAAAACGACATCGTTCTGTCAACCATAAACTCCAATGCCAAAGCTCTAGTCCCCACCACTCCCAATTCAGCGACTCCAAATTCAAGCAAAACCCAAAATTCAAATACGCAAATGACGTCGTCGGTTGCTTCTTCGAGAAAGAAGTGGAGGAGAATTGGGGTAGTGAATGGGAGTATAAGCGTGGTTCATCAGCTGAATGCCTTGGTGAAGGACAAGTGTTTGAGAATTGTAGCGAGGGTGGTTAGGGTTGTGGTTGGTGGTGGTGGTGGTAGTGAAGCGAGGGCGGTGGTGCTGGTGGACGTGTACTTGCCGATTGCGTTGTGGTCAGGCTGGCAATTTCCTCGGTCGGGCTCCACCGCCGCAGCCCTCTTTCGCCATATGAGGTGCATTGTGTTTTGTTTATTTCTTCAATTTGTTTCTTTTTTGTAGAAATGATGGGTTTTTCAATGCATTCTCACTTGTTTTGAATTAATATGGAACATGAACTCATGTATTTAACCTTTTATCAGCTTCTCTTACTCAACTTGTTTTGTCCTACCTGTTTTGATGCTAAATTTGGAATTGTTTCTCTGCCCTCTCTAGCTGCTTAAGGTACATATATTATGCTAGATGAAGTAGTCAGTTGTTAGAAAAAGATGTCCTATTAATCAAGGGTGCTGGGAGGGGTGGACTGGATATAAATTGAACCTATTGGCATTATTTGTACAAAGTGACTGTTTTTAAATTTGAACCCCAAGGTCTCCTCTTGTTGGCCTGACTTTTGTACCTCGATACCAGACAATGACCATAAGTGAGTAGTTGTTGGTTTATTGCATTAATTTAGATACATTCCCTAGGTGGAACAAGCTCTCCTTTTGGATCTATCATTGCTGCTTTTTAAACATCATGCTTCCACCGTCACTTACATAAATAGGATATTTTGCACCCTACAAATAGAAGAATGGATTTTATTTAACATGAGAATACTCGGTAGTTAGAATCATGTGCTGTACTTAACTAATGCTACTCCCTATGTCCCAAAATTGGAGTTATATTTTGGAATTCCAACTTTTAAAGGAGAGTTATATATGTACACACACACACACCCTCCCACACCCATAAATATATGTGTAAGTGTGCAAGAATGGGGAAAGTTTGAGTACTCAAAATTGCTGTCTACTTGATGTAAAATCTTACCTTTGGCGAACTTTCCACCAAATTTAAACTGAGAGAAAAAGGGAGAGATTTTGAACATACCAAAATTTAATGCTTTTACTTTTCAAAGTGGACTGAATACTGATCGTTTAAAACATGGTGGAAAGGAAAGATGGATTTTTCTGTGGGTCAGAGGGAGTGTGCGTTAAACAGAGGAGTTGCACAAACCTAAAATCTACTAGTGATATGTAAGCTTTGAAATTTGGAAGCATGGTTCCTCTAGTCAAGTTTGACTTTTCTTTGAGTATTGAGAAACTATACTCTCGTCAGTAGATTTTGGTTTTAGATGCAACATTCAAGGGCTTTTTATTTATTGGCTTGCCTTACTAGGGGTATGTTTTTCAATAACGACTTGTTTGAGTATATAATCCAAACACTAAATGCTTAGATAGTTCTATCAATGCTGATTGTGTTGTAAAGATTGATAATTATTAGGTTGCCCATGTGCCTATTCTCTTTAATTTGTTTCGATATTTATGCAAAGTGGAAATTGCGGGGACCTTTTTGAGTGCAAATTTTTTTATTATGTGCATGCCACACTCTAAAGGATCCATTTTGTTATGTATGTTTGGAATGCAGTGTGATTGCTGGCTATATGAATAGTTTTACTGATGCAAATCTCAAATTCAAGAACAATTGCCCTGAGCTGGATAATCCTATTGTTAGCAATTGTGAATGTAAACTTTTTCTTTTGTTTTTTTATGTTTCTTTTTGTTTTTGTTGATACAATTAGTATTGTCAAAATAGAAGACATATGGACTCAAGACTCTATTTAAAACGTCTTGAGATTAATAAGGAGATAATTTGAGCAAGCTATAACCAATTGTTATTGTTGTTGTTGTATTGAGTATGATATACCCAAGAAACATGTTTTATTAAATTCGTGCTGGTGAAATAAAGATTTATGGATCGATATGTGCAGCTGTGAATGACAACAAAATTTAAAGTTGTACCATTTACTCTGTGACAAGTTTAACTTTATTATTATCTCCCAATTGCAGCGCTCCTGCAAAAATCTGAAATAGTGATCCTTCATCGCATGTTTTTGCCCCTTCTTTTATCTTTCTCTGTTTGTATGGCACATGAGATATTCATCAAGCTAGCTGTGGCCTAAGTTGTTGATCAGTTTGGAATTTCAAGGACATGCCATGATGAAACATCAATTAGGCTAATGCGCAGCTGAGGATTTGAAGCTCTAGAAATAAAAGAAAGCTAATAATGTTTCCAAATTGACCCTTTCAGGAGATTTGAAATTATTGGTTGCCTATGTTATGAGCTTGATGCATTATGATATCAGGGCACTGGTCATAGCCATATCACTCGTCACAAGATCGAGGGAATAATATGTGGTAGTTAGTAGAACACTATTGCATCCCCCTCTCCCCTGTCCTCCTCTTTCTTGAAGCAGAATTATCATTGTTTTCTACAAACAAGGAAGTCAGGAATGGTCGTGGGGGCTTGACCAGCAGCCTGTTTGGCAGGATAAAGTTTTGAAGCTTTTATGTGTTCTAGGGACTTGACATTGTATGGATTAGTTGTTAGGGGAATTGAGGTTCAGTATTTTTTAATAACTGCATTTTCCTGCCATTTCTTTTGTATTTGATTGCTGCTGACATAGATCAAGGACATGTGTTTGCAGTTGTGACTGGGGAACAAGAAGTTCAATGCTCAAGTGTGGCAAACATGATCATGAAGATAATTACAGCATTTGGAATCTTTCTGATTGTCATGTTCTTGAATGTAAGCAGCACTGCAGTGCCCCAGATGCTTCAAAGAAAAAGCTCTTCGAACTTCATGAGATTTTTAAGAGCTTGCCTAGTGTGGTAAAGAAGGGAGACCCTGATTGTTCAAGAGTTAATCCAGAGGATGCTTCTTTTACATCTGGGATTTGGATGGTATCGGATGATGTGTTGATCAACATTTTAAGTGCACTTTCTCCAATTGACCTTGTTAGGCTTTCTGCAACCTGTCGCCATCTCAGACTTTTGGCAGCATCTGTTATGCCATGTATGAAACTTAAGCTTTTTCCTCATCAGCATGCAGCAGTTGAGTGGATGCTACAGAGGGAACGGGAATCTGAAGTCTTGCCCCATCCTTTGTACATGGATTTCTTAACTGAAGATGGCTTTCCATTTTATGTAAATATTGTTTCTGGTGAAATAATCACTGGGGCAATTCCCACTATTAAAGATTTTCATGGGGGAATGTTCTGCGATGAACCTGGTTTGGGGAAGACTATAACTGCTCTTTCTCTTATTCTGAAGACGCAGGGAACATTGGCAGAACCACCAGAAGGGGTACAAGTAATCTGGTGTGCACATAATGCTGATCAGAGATGTGGCTATTACGAGCTTCGTAGTGATAATGTCAGTGGTGTTAGGGTTTCAAGTAATGGGGTTGTGAGTCAGAATGCTCGAAGGGGACAATTATCTCTAGATAAAGTTACTCCAAGGAAGAGCTCCTTGTTGAAAGGAGCCAGGTATATGGATTCAGCTGAGAAAATTACAGAATCTACTGATTTATGTCCTGGTAAAGGAATCCAATCCCCTCTGGCTGCATGCTCTACCCCAGCAACATGTGTTGTTCAATGCACCAGGAGCTGGAGTCGCATTAAGAGAAATCTTCTGCATAAATATGAAGGGTCATTTGGCTTTTGTGAAGAGATGAAGGTGAAGAACAGGACGAGAAAAAGAAAGCATGCTTCGAGTCATAGCTCTCTGGACAAGTGGCATGGGTTATCCAATGGATTTCCATGCAATAGCAAGAGGCCTGAGAAGGCCACTGCAGATTATTTTAATGAAACTTGGGTCCAGTGTGATGCTTGCCGCAAGTGGCGGAGGCTTGCAGACGCAAGTGTAGCAGATACTACCACAGCATGGTTTTGTAGTATGAATAATGATCCATTACATCAGAGTTGTAGTGTTCGAGAAGAATCTTGGGATTACCCCCAGTCCATAACATTCTTCCCTGGATTTCACACCAAAGGAGCTTCTGGGGGAAGAGAGGAAAATGTGTCCTTTTTCAGTAGTGTGCTTAAGGAGCACTATGCGTTGCTAAATTCTGAAACAAAGAAGGCCTTAACTTGGTTGGCTAAACTATCGCCCGATAAACTTTCTGAAATGGAAACGATTGGGTTGGTGCATCCTATTACGGAAACTCGAGTCGTATGTACCGGACATGCCCATGAGTTCCACAAAATATTTCAAGCATTTGGTCTCATTTATATGGTAGAAAAGGGTACTACAAGGTGGTACTACCCCAGAACTCTTGTCAATTTGGTCTTTGATCTTGATGCCCTCAGAATTGCTCTCTGTGAGCCGTTGGATTCGATCAGATTATATTTGTCAAGGACAACTCTGGTCGTCGTTCCAACAAATCTAGTTGATCATTGGAGAACTCAAATCCAAAAGCATGTCAGACCTGGTCAGTTGCGGGTTTATGTCTGGACCGACCATAAAAAGCCTTGTGCACACAATCTGGCTTGGGACTATGATGTTGTTATAACTACCTTTAATCGTTTTAGTGCTGAGTGGAGCCCACGTAACAGAAGTGTATTGATGCAAGTTCACTGGCTTAGAGTCATTTTAGATGAAGGGCACACCCTTAGCTCGAGTCTTAACATAACAAACAAATTGCAAATGGCTGTTTCATTGATAGCTTCGAATCGTTGGTTGTTAACGGGAACACCAACTCCCAACACTCCTAACAGTCAACTTTCCAATCTTCAACCTGTACTTAAATTCCTTCATGAAGAAGCTTATGGACAGAATCAGAAGTCATGGGAAGCAGGTATTCTTCGGCCCTTTGAGGCGGAGATGGAAGAGGGTCGTTTACGTTTGCTTCAATTACTGCATAGGTGTATGATCAGTGCAAGAAAAATAGATTTGCTGACAATTCCTCCTTGCATCAAGAAAGTGATGTTTCTTAATTTTAATGAAGAACATGCTAGAAGTTACAATGAATTGGTAGTTACAGTAAGGCGCAATATATTAATGGCTGACTGGAATGATCCTTCCCATGTGGAGAGTTTGCTGAATCCCAAGCAATGGAAGTTTCGAAGTACCCTTATTAGAAATGTGAGGTTATCTTGCTGTGTGGCTGGACATATTAAAGTTACAGATGCTGGACAAGATATTCAGGAAACTATGGATATTTTAGTTGAAAACGGTTTGGATCCTAATTCAGATGAGTATGCTTTTATAAAATATAACATTCTATATGGTGGCAATTGTACGAGGTAAGGTTGGACTTTCAAGTTTACATTTGGCATTTGATTGGACACCAGATCATTTTCTTATTAATGATTGCTCTTTGATTTGTTAGGTGCAAAGAATGGTGCCGTTTACCTGTCATTACACCATGTAGGCATCTTCTATGCCTTGATTGTGTTGCTTTGGACAGTGAACGATGTACATTTCCTGGCTGTGGTAATTTATATGAGATGCAGAGTCCTGAAATATTAACCCGTCCAGAAAATCCCAACCCGAAATGGCCTGTCCCTAAAGATCTTATTGAGTTACAGCCTTCATATAAACAGGCAGGCTGAGTATACATAATAGTTGATGGTATTATGGGTTTTTATTGTGTGCTGTCAGTAACATTTTCATTTTTTGATGTGTTCACTCTCATGGATGTTGTGTAGGATGACTGGCATCCAGATTGGCAATCAACATCTAGCAGCAAAGTCACTTATCTTGTGCATAGGCTTAAAGAATTGCAGGAAGCTAATAGAATGATTGGCTACTACATAGATGAGGATAATGATGCCAAGATTATTGATGAACCTGATTTCCCATCTGAGAACAGCCATTTCAGCTCTTTTTTACATCAACAAGCTTGTGGTAGATCTACCAAAGAGTCACACAATGTGCTTCCAGAGAAAGTTCTAATATTTTCTCAGTTTCTTGAGCATATACATGTAATTGAACAGCAGGTAGCTTTTGATTTACTTTAGAGTACAATGGCTCAAAATGATTTTCCTCTGCAAAGATAAGCATTGAGATTCATTTTCTTTTTTTACCAGTTAATGCTCGCGGGTATCAAATTTGCTGGAATGTATAGTCCCATGCATTCTAGCAACAAGGTATATATCTTGTTTATTTAGTCGTACTATAAACTTGTTTGCTTTATACCACAATTAATTACTTGTACTTGATTCAGATGAAATCACTTGTGAACTTCCAGCATGATGCAAATTGTATGGCTCTTCTAATGGATGGAAGTGCCGCATTAGGTCTTGATTTGAGCTTTGTGACACATGTCTTTCTAATGGAACCAATCTGGGACAAAAGGTAATGGACGAGTCGAAGTTTGCTGGTCTTTAGAATGAAATTACATCTGAGGGATCAATATTGTGTGGACAACTTTATACTTTCTTAGTTTTCGTCAAGGAAGGCCATTCTATCCTTGTCAAACTCAGCTAGCTCTAGCCAGTGGAAGGCTTAGATAAAAGAAAATAATAATATAATCCTTCAACTGGCTATATGCTATTCAAAGTCAGTCAATGTTATTCAGTCATTATTTCAGTTATTCTAGTAATGGTAGTCTGCCTTTGCAGCTTTCGTTTAATGCATTTATTGGTTGAAACTTTGTCAGCATGGAGGAACAGGTAATTAGTCGTGCTCATCGGATGGGTGCTACACGTCCTATTCATGTGGAAACATTGGCAATGAGTGGCACAATTGAAGAGCAAATGTTAAAATTCCTGCAGGTATTATTCTTCATAACACATTTTACTGTCTCATATATGCAGAATTGCAAATAATTTCTAAAGATCTTTTTTTTTTTGCCTCAATTTTTCTTTAATCTTAATTACAATAAGGTCTATTTAACCGTTGTTTATAAATTCTTTGCAGGATGCTGATGAGTGTAGAAGGTTCCTGAAGGAAGAGTTTGGCAAGCATGATCGCGAGGCGGCACGAGCACACCGTACTTTACATGATTTTGCAGAGAGCAACTATTTGGCTCAGCTTAGCTTTGTGCGAACGCATGCCAAGACATAATGGTACACGTAATTGATTTTTAATATCTGGTATAGACACACATACACATATGTACATACTTAATGCCTTTTTTATTTATGTTTCATAGTTGCTCAGAAAATATTCCACCTTCTCTTTGAGAACCTATTTGATTCTTTAAAGCATTCTAGATATGCCTATATAATAAGGATGTGTGATATATACAGAAAACTAGTTACATTTATGCATCTGAATTTTTCTCTATATCTAATCTTAGAAGAATATTTTCACTAGCAGTAGGTTGATCAAGGATTAACATTTCGTTCTGGTGATTGTTTCCTTCACCTATGAAACGTGAACAATTAGGAAATCAAATAGAAAAGGAGAAAAATTGAAATTTTTTTTGCAAAATACTCTGAAACATTGGTCAAAACACATTGACACATTCCAAAATATCTCGAAACATATGGATTTAGATATCGATCACTTATTCATTTTTGGGTTTTTTGGAAACATAAAAGTTTTGGCTGTTTTCACCATTTCAAAACGATATTTTTATCCTTGAGGCTTATTATGAAAGCAACTACCCTTTTTTGGTAGTATTTGACTTTTAATGTTAGCTACAGAGAGCCTATATGTTTTACTTTTTAGCTGCCCATACCTTTAGCTGATTATCATGAAAATTTGGATCTCTGGTTGCATGGAAATCATCACATCTTCATTTCATGGAAATTTCGATATTGCAATCATGCTATAGAACTTTTTGGTGTATCCGTGAATATACATGCTCCCTTACACAAATTTTTTAACATGCAAATGTTGCTTATAATTTGGTGGTAGAAAATAGCGAGTCATAGCAATCTACATGTCTTTGTGTAACCTAACACTTTGATTTTGTGTCTATTTCTATTTTGTCTAGGAAACACTTGTTACGCCCTTGAACTTAGCCTCATCAGAGAGTTCCTGCTCGTGCTTAATTGCAAAATAAATTTTTGGGGCTATACTGGAAATATAACTTGTATCCATGAATCATATTTTCGTTTTGGTGCATTATTTTTGTCACTTAAGAAATGAAAACGTTTGAAAAAAATGAAAACAAATAAAGAATTTATGTATTTATTTTTGAAACATTGATTGAAATATACCAAAACATTGGTGGAAACATGTCAAAATACATTGAAACACTTCAAACAATTGAAATTTCAATTCAATCACTGATTCGTTTCAGTTTCCTTGGAAACGAAATGTATCGACCGTTTCGAAACATAATTTTGATCCTTATGTGACACCTTGGTTTTTTGGATCTTTTAGTTGATAGAATCAATTACAATAAACCACAAAGATATCTCAAAATACAAAGATCATAGCTATATTAATTAAAATACATTTAAAATTGATAGTAAAATCTTGAAATTATACAATAAATCATCCAATAATCACCATCCATCTTGAATAAAGTTATACAAATTCAGAATCTCAAACTAAAGTAAAACCAATAAAATATTGGGATTATACAAGACTTTAATCAAAGTTTACAACTCTTTGTTATCTTCCATTCTCCGGTTATCCCAATCCAGATCCTCTTACCAATCTCTACTTGAAAAATAAGTGGGGGTGACCTCAACAAGTCTAGTAGGATAACTTTTCTCAAACACTGCCAATGTTTTGAAAAATATACATATACACTCATAGTCTCATAATGTGTACGTAAAACATAGCAACATTTGTACCCATATACTTGAAAAACAATAATGCAGTAAAAATCATGAGATTGCATGCTTTTATAAAATAGTAATGATTACTATCCATGGGGAGGTTTGAGGCCTTCCACCCTAGGGACACACTGCCCTTTTTGCTTTTCTAGGAAACTTAATATCGGGAATCTGTGGAATCACACTAGTAACTATTGGCCTTTGATACCATTATCCAATCCTCCTAAAGATTTGTAAAAATTCTATGCACCTTCGCAAGGACCACGATGTCTCTAAAATCCTGCACTATCAATTACCCGAAAAACCAATACCGGGAATCTGTGGTACCACATAAGCAACCACCAACCAATTCTTCCAAAGATTTGTAGGAATTTTGTGTGCATCTTCAAAAAGATAATGACGTCTACAAATTTCTTATTGTGCATCTAAACAAAGATTAAAATTTCGTTTCAAAACGTCTGAAATGTTTCTGTTTCCAAAGAGACTAAAATGAATCAGTGATGGAATCGAAATTCTAATATTTCGAGGTATTCCATAATGTTTCAAGATGTTTTGTAATATTTCAATGCATTTATACAATTGTTTTGGAATATTTCAAGGTATTTCAATATACTTTTATATATTTCGACTAATATTTTGGAAAAATAATTCTTAAATTTTTTATTTTTATTATTATGTTTCTAAAATGGGTCAAAACGTTTTCAAAACACGTCAAAACGTTTCCGTTTTCTAGGCGACCGAAACAATACACCGAAATGAAATTTTAATCCTTGCATCCAAGTTTTCAGATTTGACCAAAATTCATATATAATAAATCAAGTCATAATAGGTATAGATCGAATTTTCAAATACCCCAATTCAGGTTTATATATTGCAAATACAATAAATAATCCAAATAATAAGTCCTAAACATTGAATATGCAAGTCAGATTAATTACAGTATTAAGGATTTAACCAAAAGCAATATATGTGAAGAAATCATGCTTTACCGACAAAGCCCAGATTTTCTTCGATGATTAATGAAATAGAACATTTAAATATCATATAATGAACATAGGCTTATCATGGAATCCCAAAATATACATGAAATGCATCAATGACTGAGAATGAGAAAAAAAGCCTACATTCGAAGAGAAAAATATCAAATAATTATAAATCGATGTAATCGAACTCTGGATCCGTGAAACCTCAGCTAGACTTTCCTATTTGTCTCCCATTTTTTTTGCTCTTTTATGTAGTGAAATTCCAGAGACATGGTGGAATTGAAGAATTTGAAGTATTTATAGCAGGGCTCAACCGGGTTAAGGCGGTGGAAAAAACCAACTTAAAACACAAAGGAACTTGTCGGCCGACCGCCTTTCACATTCGGTCGACTGCCTTCTAAAGTCGGTAGGCCGGCTAAGTCCTCTACCCAAATGATTTAAGGTGAAAAACTATTCTGTGAAATTATTGTTGTCCCTATGTCATCCAATTTGATCCCTATAACCCTCCCAAGGTTTTTTCTCATTCCGGATTCATTTTAATGTTATTTTAACCCAAAAATATTTAGTTTTATGAGTTAATTCAAAATTCAAGGCAAAATAGTACTCAAAACACAAAATGACCTTTTTACGCTTTTGAACACCTACGCAAACCAAACACTCATCTTAAGGTTTCTCAACCTTCCAATTTCATTGGTAACGTTATTTTGACCTAAACTGTTGTATATTAATGACTTATCACATATCTCAAGTCAAAATATCAAATTACTATTTTACCCCTTTGAAATGTAATGCCAACTAAATGGCCATCCCATGGTTTCTTGATATGTCGAATTCAATGGTATACATATATGAATTAGCTAATCATAAAATCCATATTGGATGAAATTGAGTACCACATCCGATTCTCTACCACTAATCAACCTTGCATTTATAAATTAAACTAATTAATCATAATTCAAACCTTAAAAACTTATTTGGATCACTTTCAATGTCTTTTGCATTTCAAGACCCAATCCAACTCGAACTCTATTTTACATCGAATCAAGTTACTCAGTCATTCATATTTCCTCAAAACTTCATCATAATTCCTATAAAACTTCTAACCCCCATGTTTGGGTATTACACCTTACTTATATCATACATCAAATGATTAGGACCAGTTGGTTTATATCCTTGAGGGGCCACTCAACTTATTGTTAATTAGTTTTGGGTTCGTGGTTTTAACATGGTATTAGAGTTGGACATTAGGTGGTGGGTGGGTTAGGTCTCTTACCCTTTTGAATTTTCTGCATGCATAGTTGTTTGTTTGTTTGTTTTTTAGCCCCATGTGTGAGCCCGGATCCAACATGAGGGAGGGTATAAAGAGAGCTTGTATCCCACATCAAATGATTAAGACCACCCAAAGTTGATTTATATACTCGGGGGGCCAATCCACTCATTAATCATTGCCAATGTATTTTTGGTTGGATGCTCTAACATATACAACTAGTAAAGGAATACCTCTGGGTGGTTGCCCCTATGAAAATCACCAACTTCTAATGAAGTGCCTCTAACCACTTCTACCAATCTTAGGGTCAGTTTGCAATCGAGGTGCTTGAGGTGACATTTTGTTGAAAAGCTTGTGGTTTACGTTGTCACCTTAAAGGAGGAGAATCAATGACAACAAATCGCCAGAGAATTAATTGGCAGACTTGGCCCTTGTTTCACCTTGTGATTTTGAGCAGTGGAGGTTGAAGCTTCATTGTTTTGCTGCCAGATTGCACTCTTTTGATGTGAGAGCTAAGTATCAATGGAAGACCAGTTTGTAATACTCGCATCATGTTTGAAGCTCTTGAGTGCAGCTTGGAACTCATTATTACTCCCAGCTCTCGTGGTTTAGTTTGTGACAACAGTTAGGGTTTTTCACTTTATACCAAACTGATGTAGTGAAACACTTGCCTACACGTTTTTCTTCCAAAATTAATTCTGGGTAGCGGAAGAAATAGGCCTCAAGGGGCTCATTGTGTTTTGGTTTGTGGCTGAAAGAGGTTGCTAATATTGTGGGCCCATAGCTTTTGGTTTAGGCTTCCAAAAGCCTACAATATTTGTCCATCCAGTTAATAGATGTGGTATCAGTTTGATGTCGTGTTTTGATGCGGTGGACTTTATGCTGGTTATTTTAATGTAGTAGTCTAGCTACCAGTTTGTGAATGCTTGGGACTTTCCTTTGTTGACTAGGTAGTCATCGTGTTGTTTTAGTGCTATTTTTTCGGTAAGTGTTTACAACCTAATAATAGGCCATTGAATCCTTAGCTTATTGTTTCAAGGGCTAAATCAAAGTTCATACCCATACTGGCTCATACCACATAGA